GTGTGTGTGTGTGTGTGTGTGTGTGTGTGTGTGTGTGTGTGTGTGTGTGTGTGAAGAAGTTGCTAAAGATTTTATTTCAAGATTGTAGAAAAATTAGTGACTGCCCGGGAAAATATTTTTTATACGTATATGTATAATTATATATATGTATAAAGTATATCCATATTGTATATATATATTTTTCACTTTTATAATCTCTGTTTGTACACATATATAAGAAAAATAATAAGAAGAATAATTAAAAAGTAACTTTTAATTAGCTTTTTTGGTAAAAAATAAAACTGCGATTACATTATACAATATTTTATATAAAATCATATATAATTTTGGCAAGTCCGTACATCAAATACATGTCTGCCATCTCCTGATTTAAATAATTATTCATCCTTATTCACTTAACTATTACTTATAAAACGCATGGCCAATTAGTGAATTATTAAGTGTTTCTAACAAGAGAACAAACTGAAGTGAGTAAACTCAATCAATAGAACGTGTGAAATCCACAAGATCGAGAAATATTCAGTTGATATTTAGCATTGTTTACAAATACAAACCAAATATGGCCATTTCGATCCTCCTATGAATAAGGTAAGCAGCTGTAAATAACTGGAGCACAAAAATGGTTATAACTCGGGACAAGATCAAATAAATGTTTATATAAACTTTTTTCATTGTTTTTGTGTTTTCAATCCACTGCTGAAGTGAGTTCCACATGTTAGAAAATACCTTGTATAAGAACAGAGATTATACAAGAGAAAGAAAAAAAATATATAGAAATATTATATATACATATATATAATTATATATAATAAGTTTTTTCTCAATTGTTCTGCAGTAAAGTATTTTTGAAACGTCATACCATCACGTTACTTCCTGCTTTGGTTATTAAAATTAAATTTAGTTTCTTAGAAGAAGAGTTTTATATGTATTTCTTTCTCCTTCTCTCTCCGTATTGTTTATAGTTCCGAAAGATTACTGATAAATGAGTAGAATTTGCAAAAAACGAATTTTATAATTCTATAGTAAAATAACTAACAGCAAATTGTATTTAATTGTATGTTAATTGATATAATTTTGCAACTAAATAAGTCTAAACATTATACCTCAGGAACATTCGCTTATGCGGGCAGCCAACTCGGCGCGGTGATCACAATGCCGATTGCTGGAGTTCTCGCTGCATCCAACAGTGGTTGGCCCAGTATCTTTTACATATTCGGTGTATTAGCGATTATCTGGAGCATAGCGTTCCTTTATTTTGGAGCAGACACACCGTCCATTCATCGCAGTATTTCTCCGGAGGAGAGGATGTATATAGAAGACAGTTTGAGGACAACTGAAGCAAAAAGCGATGACGAGGTCAAACAGGTAATAATCTATTATCATAAATCTCAATGACACAAATAATGATTTTTGGTGTTACATATACACTGGGCAACAAAATTATCACAACAAAAATTTACGTCAAAAATTTGCCCAACTTCAAATAAGCATAACTCCGCGAAAAATTGTCATATCTGAAAGATTTTTTTTCATTTTAAAGGGTGAAGTCTGTACTTTAAGGAACCATTGTTAGATTTTGAATTTAGCCTCCCGCCATTCTTCCAAAAGTAAGGATGTGTTACGTCTCCAAAAAATTACATACTTTGACACATTCTACGGAGTAAAATGAATTTTTTTCGTAACTATCATGGCAACCATCGTAAAATATGGACTTTTCCCTGCAAATTAAAAAAAAATTAAGTCCGTACGATTTTTTTTCGCCGAGTTATGGCTTATCAAAGTTATCTATGCATTTTTGTGCATTCAATCACCGCCAACATTAGTATTACCCGATGAACACTACGGAGAGGTTATTGGTCGGATTTTGCCTATCGTGTGTGTGTGTGTGTGTCTGTATGTGTTTAAAAAATTTTTTTTTAATTTGCAGAAACAAGTCCATATTTTACGATGGTTGCCATGATAGTTACGAAAAAAATTCATTCTACTCCGTAGAATGTGTCAAAGTATGCAATTTTTTAGAGACGTAACACGTCCTTACTTTTGGAAGAACGGCGGGAGGGGGGAGGCTAAATTCAAAATCTAACAATGGTTCCTTAAAGTACAGACTTCACCCTTTAAAAAAAAAAAAAAATCTTATAGATATGACAATTTTTCGCGGAGTTATGCTTATTTGAAGTTAGGAAAATTTTTGACGTAAATTTTTGTTGCGATAATTTTGTTGCCCAGTGTAGTAATACTTGTTTATCGCCTTAATATATTTTTCTGTATCATAATATGAAGAAAGAGTTTCTTCAATTTCGAGCTTGAACATCTTTTTTACATTAGATTATTTTTACGATACTCGCGACAAAATTATTTTATGTTATATAATGATTTAAGGCTGTAAACATGCAATAAAAAATAATACAAGGTATTTATATTCAGAATAATTTTATATCTTTTAGAAACTGAAAACACCGTGGAAGCACATATTCACTTCGCTACCTATGTGGGCTATCATAATAGCCCACTCCACGCAAAATTGGGGAGGAACGACTTTATCGACGCAAATACCGAGTTACATAACAGGCGTGTTGAATTTCAATGTCAAAGAGGTAAGCAATAAAATTTGGCAAACGAGTAAACAGGATAAAGAATATTTTCTTCCTATATTAGTTTCACGAATTTGGCGAAATTCATTTATTCGACTGCAATCGTTTTAATATCCGTGATTTAATATTTATAATAGATATATTTGAAATTATTTCCACCTTATTTGGAATTATTTCTTCTTTAATCGATTAGACATAATACTTTATATAAAGAAATTAATTAAAATATACATTTTCTTTTGTAGAGTGGTATAATTTCCGCTTTGCCATACTCGGTGAAGTTTATTCTTACCTTTCCCATAAGCTGGCTATCCGACTTTGCATTGAAGAAAGGTGCGGCCAGGGGTACAATTAGAAAGATTTGCAACACAGTGGCTTATTGGGGTCCGGCTATCGCTCTGGCATGTATGAGCGTCGTACCCACCGATGGTTATATATGGGCCATTGTCATCCTTGTTCTGGCAGTAAGTCTGAACGCTGGGGGTTTAAGCGGCTTCCTCATCAATCATATAGATCTTAGCCCAAACTTTGCTGGGACCATGGTATCCATCACCAATACCTTTGCCACCGTCATCTCTATTATCGCGCCACTAATATGTGCTATCATCGTCACCGACGAGGTAATCATCTGTTCTCTTTTTTCTGTGTGTGTGAAATATCTGCATGTAATATATATAGTAATTTTATAGTTTACTCAATTTTCTGAAAATTTTTTATTTAATTCTATATCTTCAAATTTACCTATATATCTACTTATTATTTACAATTCCTACTATTTTATCCTTAATGAACTTATTTAATTGCTTTAGAAACAATGAGAAAGTTTCTAACGAGTAACGAGTGATCTCTCGCTTTTCAGAGTAACGTGTATCAGTGGAACATCGTGTTCTACGTCTCAGCGGCGCTTTTCTTTCTAGGTAATTTGGTGTTTGTGATATTCGGCAAAGGCGAGATACAATGGTGGAATGACCCAAAAGCACAACAGCCGAAACGAAAGGAGAAAAAAGAGAACGAAACGCACATTTAAAATTTTATAAAATTAACTTTGATACGCTCTTGTGAAATTTTTGTAACTTGTCATTGGACTAAATCCTACGGCAAGTTATAAAATATGCGGGTGTGTAATGTAGGGGAAACCGGGGCTAAAAGTAACACGGGTAAGTTGTCACAAAGCTTATATCTCACTTAATAGATTGAGTGGAATATTTTTCTTTATAGTATAGGTTGCTCCTATCGTGTTAGTCGGGTGCACGAAATAGCTCGTTTCAAAAACATCGCATGTAATATTTACGAGCACTTTTTAAAAATTGGATCGTGAGTAAGTTTTTCTTGCCTGTATTTTTATTATTCCGTTGGTTTTTGGAATTACTGTCGTAATATTTCTTTTTGGTCATAAGAAATATTATAGTTTTAAATAATTTTTCCTGTATTTAGTTAACCGTCATTGCAACATAGTTTATAAATATAATCTTCTTTGTTCAAAATGACCATTCAGGGTAAGTTGTCTCAAATGAGATGGGATTCAAAGTTTATGAGAATTATTATTCTTTTATTTACTCAAAGCTTATGAAAGTATTACAAAGTTTATGAAAATTATTATTCTTTCATTTACTCTAAGTTTATGAGAATTATATTACAAAGTTTACGAAAATTATTAATTTTTTGTTTAATTCATGCTGCAATATATTATTAAGTTAAATTTCCCAAAAACTGGTACTAACTTTAATAAAATATTAAAATAGGAACTATTTGTCGTGTGTTTCCTCTATATGAAAGATTATACGTGACAATCAATCCAGAGTCATGTGACAACCAACCCAGGGTTGGGATAAGTTGTCACATTTGCGCGGTTTTGCTTAAATTTAAATAACTTTTTTGTGTATAAATATATATAAGTCTAATATTTTTTTTTTTTACACCTAAAAGATGTAGCTACATTATAAAGTAGTATACGATATTATAAAATATTGTTAACATTTTTTTTTAAATCAGTATTTGAAAAGTGTGAGAACTAGCCCCGGTCTCCCCTAAGCCCGAAGTTAGGACTGGAGCTGATTTATATTAAATTTATATTTATAAATGTACTTTTAAATATCGGAACGTTACAAATTATCATTTTCATCGATAAACAGCTGTACATATCATTGGTCCAAAGTGTAATGTAATATATGTTTCAATTTTGTGTTACACCGATGTTTTCGTTACCCACTAGCCTCACTTATCAGAGCTGATTATATTATCGTTAATCTGACTAATAAGTTAGACTTATAACACCAGAGATACATTATTATGTGTATATAAGAACGAATTTTTACTTTTTATTTTGATTGGACTTAGAACAGTATTTTAGATACAATCACATGCATATTACGTGTTTAAAATAATAATAGACATAGTTTTAAAAGTTTCACATACAGTGTTCATGATTTCCTCAAGCATTCTGGAAAGTTAAAATAAAGTCAAGTTTTGTACGTAAAGAGAACATTTGTCAAATAGCTTTTTATAAATAGAATAAAAACTTTTAAGATCACTAAAAGATTACTGGAAGCTAATTATAATAATTAAGCACTGTAATACTAAAATTACTATAAAGCTAATTATAATGTAAAAGAAAGTGTCTGGAAACCGATTATAAGATGATTTATTCCAAAACAAATGCCTAGTAACTTATCAGGAAAAAACAGGTTATAAAAAAGGTGTAAAAATTGATTGTGAATATAGAGAGTGTTTTAGAAGGTATGGGACAAATGTTAGGGGTTGATAGGTCTCTCTCACGAAATAATTTTTATTAAGGGACCCTTCCGATGCATCCTTGAGGAGCTATGCGATCTTGTTCGGATCGCCTGTGAAGTAGGCAACCAGTCGCACGACAGTGCGTGACAATACTAGTCCACATGTTCTTTAATGTTGTATTTTTTATTGCTTTTTAAAAATTTTATTTATATATTTTATTACAGGAGATGCTCAAAGTATCTGTCTTGCACTTGATTACATTTATCATATCTGTGTAGCATTGAATTTCTTACTGTTTGGAATATTTCAATATTTTTCCTGATTTGATTAGAAGCCCCCGTTATATTTTCAATTAACTTTCAGTTGTCGATCAACTTGACGCCTCTTGACTTGTTTTTGTAAATACATGTTAGGTAAAAGTAAAGGGATAAGAAATTTATTATTTAGATGTAATTAACGTAATCAGGTGCGAGGCAAGCACTTTGACCACCTCCTGTAATAAAATGTGTAAATAAAAATTAAAAAGAACAACCAAAAAGCCAAAATAAAATTAAAGAAAGTGGACTAGTATCATCAGACGTCAATGCTGTCGTGCGACTGGTTGCCTACTTCACATTACAGGCGATCCGATCAAGGACGCGTCGAAGAACACGAGTTTGTTAACAAAAATTAATTCTTTTAGTGAAATTTAAAACATTTTTTCATACCTCACGGTTTCAGAGATATTCACTCGTAATCAAATATATAGAATTTCTTTCGAGAGGTTGTTTTAATCCCTAAACATGCTTCGGAGCTGATAAAAAAAAATACGTGTTTGTTATTTTTTTCGCCACTCTGCAATATATCCAAATTTTACCGAAATCGGTGAAGGACAGTTCCAAACCCTTGTAAGTGCTACAAAATTCCCGTTTTTTCCATATCTTTCGACGTTTATTTTCCTGGTATGTATTGATCGATAGATACGACAATACACGTTTTTGCCAAGGCTCTAAATACTCGAGAGCGAATCTCTATCTGATAGAATGTCAACTGGCCAGTGTGGTGCTTAAGTTATTAACATTCGCGTTATCTGTACAGAACGCAGAAAAGATTATTTATCGTTCGCAATTGATTCGTATTCACGCGATGAAATCTCAATAATAAAATCTCAGTAAGTGACAGAATAATTAAGACTCAGTTACAGATTTTGTTAAGTCTTTTTCCTTTCTTTTATCGTACGTTATTCTATTAACGAAACACATTTATTTCAAATCAATCATCAAATAATAAATAATTCATATTGCTCGCATCTTGGCAGTAGTGTTAAAATTTTCTTCTAATTACAAAACATTTCGATGTATATGATTAATTTAATCAGTATTAAATTAATAAAATCTTGGTGACGGACAATGATTTACCTCAAGTTTCTGATCCGCACACCTTTCAACTCTCTTCAATTATGTATTTATGAAAAGAAATATATCCAACAGAGAAGATTATGTAAGTATAGAAAAAATATTGTTTTTAAATAAAGAAATATCTCTTCTCTTTAGTAAATATTTCTTCCTTTTTTATTTTATATTCCTTTTATTTTATTCGTTATAATTATTAAAATATATAAATTTGCAATTTGAAGCAAATCTGTGTTATTAAATTATATCACAATAATAATGCAATAAAAATCCAAAGATTAAATGTTAATCCCATTCAGGAAATTAATGGAAGATAAAACAGACAGTGAAGAATATTGAGCAGGTGTATAATTGAGTGGGATTACATTTTGCTATACAGTGATTTTTGATGCTAAAGAAATGATATCTGTTTATTAATATGACAGCAAGACGTGCCGTCGCTTAAGTAGACGTTCAAATGTAAAAAGGTGGGAGAATCAGTTTTCGGTGATAATATAAAGCTACGTGGATACGGTCGATGTGTCGTTGTTTCTGCAATTTGCTTCAGTGTCAGCTTCGTTAAAAGTTCACTATAATGGTCGTCTTTGCGAAGGAAAGGGTCTTTACGATACCTTTCTCGGAGAGGATAAAAGTTCCACCGACTAAACCGAAAGGTAATCTATTAAATAATGATATAAATAATATATATGTCATAAATAGTGCGTACAGATTAATAAAATTCTTGTGCAAAGGAACAATTCTCTATAAAGGGAAGAAGAATTTCAAAAAATATTTCGTGAATAAATTCATTAATCCTTTAGGAGCCACATTTCACATCGATCCCGTTGGAGTAAAATGTTATAATTTATAAGATAGTCTTAAAAGACGTCCTTGATGAAAGTTTTTTAGTTTTTTTTAGTTTTTTTTTAAATGTACATAATTATGTACACAGGCCCCTAAAGGGTTAAAATGGAAGATTTCAGTGAAACTTAGAATTATCAAAGACTATCAATACTCATTTAAATTTATTTACATACTATACAAGAAAAGGATAGCTATTACTAAAATATACGTTTGACACTTCGCGAATTATTAATTTTAGTGACAAATTCCTTAATTAATTTGGAGTCAAGATTTTTTTTTTAGCAAAAATATCTTAGTTTTTAAAAATATTTTTTTTCTCGTTCTAATTTCAATGTCAAACTGATTTATGTACTTTTTTAAAATTAAGTTCATAGTAATTGGCAACCCTATACACTGTTGATTGACGATGCATAGCAGAAATGCAATAGAATTAGTAAGCATGTCAAGATGTACGTTTGATGCATATAGCAGATAGGAGAAATTCTTATCGTAGTCTGACGATGCCGAATTGATTAAATCAAATTACGTCAAAATTGATTACGTCAAAATTGTCAAGTAAAAAGCTCTTTACAATTTAATATCCTACAATACAAAAATTTCTTTTCTGTCTTTCGGAGGAATCTTACACAGAAAAAAAAACATTCTTATTTAGAGAATATTCTTATTTTTAACATGTAAATCTTAAAATGGGATTATATAGCGTTGAACAAAGATAAATTACTAGCACCGAGGCATTATATATAATTCAATAAAGAAAAATATATTTTTATTATTTAAAAATAAATTTTAATAACGGAAAACAAAAAAATGAATAGAGAATACAGTAGGTAGGGGAGACCGGGGCTAATTCGACATCGGGGCAAACTTGACACTAGACTTTTTGCTAATTTAAATCTATCGTAGAAACTTGCCTTTCCTACTGGTAAATGCGTCTTTATGTATACTGAGAAACCCATTTAGTTGACTGAATTAAAATTTGGTTGAATCAACTAAATCTCTTGTTTGTATATGGGCAAACAAGAATTGTGGTTGGTGCAACACAAAAATGTAGTTGGAAAATTTAGTAATATCAATACATAAATATAGTTCACTGAACAAAAATATAGTTTGTATGGAACAAAATTTGTGATTGACTTATTACTCAAATTTTGTCCTCTGAACCAAAAGTATGTGTTGATATTACTAAAATTTTCAACCGAGTTTTTTTGTTGCGTCAATCGATTATTTTTGCACGGAAAAAACGATTTTGCTGAAGTATTTAAAAATTTTGACTAGCTAGATACAGATCTGAAAATAATTTTGTTGCACCATTAAAATAATTATAGTAAGTCACTGAAGTATGATGATAATGCTGTAAAAAATTTTGACATTTTAGCAATCAGTTCTACATATAATTATTTTAAATCACATTGCATGCGTGAATCTATAATTATTTTAATTATGTAGAACTGATTGCTAAAATGTCAAAATTTTTTACAGCATTATCATCATATTTCAGCGATCTACTATAATTATTTTGATGGTGCAACAAAATTATTTTCAAATTTGTATCTAGCTAAATTTTTAAATACTTCAACAAAACCGTTCTTTCCGTGTGTAGCCATCAATGTATAGCACATAAAAAAAAACATAAACAGTTAAAGTCGTTTAAGTATTTTTATTTATCACATTAACGAAAACATACAAAATT